GAATGCTTGAAAGATGCAAAGTGCAGGTAGGTTAGCTCTTCTGGACCTGAAAACTAGTAGCAGCCCTTGGTTCCTCTCTTTAAGCTAGTCACTAATTTAATATATGCAAATTGTTCTACTGAAGCAAAACGATCCCTGTGCTGAAGTTCTTTGTTCAACTGGGGCCATGGAGACCTAACCTTGATCTTGGCTTTGTAGCTACAGTTTTAAGCATGCTAGAGCTTTTCAGTTATTCAAGTCAGTTTAAAATCTCATTATGGTAAAGTGCAGCAGTGTAAGCTGCAAACACACTTTTACACATCATGTTTGATGTTTTTAAAATGCTATTTTCTATATTCAAAATTTCTAACACTTTTATACTATTTCAGTGAAGATACTGAGATAGACTTTGTTTTTCAGGCTTCATACATTGAGATCATGTGACCTTTTGACATTTTTTAAGAAACCACATGCACCTGGGGTTGGGTTAAATGTCAGACCTTTATCTCTTTCTAAAACAAATTATCTGAATTCTTTCAACCTGTTGAAGGCATTTTAACCACAGGAGTGAATGTAAAATGTATTTCAGTTCTGTTAAGGAAGTTCCTATTCAGATGTAATGTTTTTTCATGCTTACAATGTAAAAAGATAAGCCAACTGAACTATACGTTTTGAAAACAAAAACAAAACAAAAGCCTGACAGAAAAAAAAAAAAAAAAAAAAAAAAAAAAAAAAAAACAACCAGTTGAAGCACACACTCTTACTATTTCTCAGTTGCTCTGTTCCAAGGGGTTTTATGCTTAATTAAACATAAAACCAAGGGGTTTATGCTTAATTGTGCTTATTTGAGGCTTAGTGAAGCATTGAAAATAAGAGACGTATTCTAGTTTGAAATATGCAAGCTGAATTTTCATTGATTTCTTAGAATTTGTAGTACAGTATGAGTACGGCTGAGTCCCCATGGAATATTTGTCTTGTGTTTGTGGTTTAAGCTAAGATCCTGTGAGGCTCACAAACCCTTTAAACTCTACATTTATAGTATCAGACTCCCACAGACCCCTCTGTAAGCTACTGACATACCTGGGATCAGTACAGAATTCTGCAGAAATATTAAGAGAGGTGTATTGTATTTGAGCTAATTTTTGACTTCCTTTATCATCTTGAGAACTGAAAGGATTCCCATTGCTAACATTCCTTCAATTCATTCCACTCTTTGTATTAGGATTTTCAGGCTCTTATCTTCGGATGATGGTCCACATGCCTATTCTATCTTTGGATATTTATTCACTACAAAAACCATGAACGTACATTTTTCCCTTTTTTAGCTTTTTCAGGACTTATATGGAGTGCTCTCGCCACATGTCCTTCCATCATGCTGGTGCACAGAATAAAGATGGAAAAAAAAAACCCATAACCTCTGCTGCATTCAGCTTCTATCTGCAATATTGCTGTTAGAACCACGTTCTTCTTGGAGCCTGATCTCACTTCTTCATCCTTAGATTATCTTCATATTTATCCTTTTTTTACCTCCTTTTCTTTAAACTGAAAGCTTGTTAAAAAATGCTGCATCTGCAATCCCCTGGGCTTCCAGCTGCCATGGTGCACTGCTGCGTTTTGATTTTGTAGGTTTTGTTGGTTTTTTTTCCTGGATTTCTTTGCTGTATGGTGGTAACCCCCAGGACTATGGTTAAAGCAGGATTTCTCTGCATATTCTGTGGTGCCTATGCTGCAACATGGCACTGTGCTCAAGGTGTCTGTGTTCCTTCGGAGAAAGCCACAGAATGATGAAGAGTGGGATGTGTGAAGCATTGAAGGCCCACGTGTGAAAGGAAAGGTGGCTCTTCCGGCACAAGTTTCCACGGTGCTCTGTAGACTGACACCACCTTTGTTTGAGGTGAAGTCTGTTGTGTCAGTGGTGCCACCTGCACCCAGTCCTGCACAGGACCTGTGCCGACCCCAGGCTCCTGAAATGTCTACTGCCTGGGATGAACCATTGGCTTGCTAACCCTCAAAGTCCTCTACAGAGTCAGAGGTATTGGTCAAGCCGAAAGTTAAGCAGAATGCAGGTGTGCCTTCCTCACTACAGTCAAGATTATTCTGCAGTGCCATTTCTGTACCTTATCCCACCAGTGAAGCTGACAGCTTTGGAGATCACATTACTGTTAGTCCAAGATCTGAAAGTCTTCAGGGCAAGCAAACAATCTTTGTGGATACACTCGAAGTGTTTCATTGTTAGAGCACCTGCTTCCAACCTGGTAATTATTCTGATGTCTCTAGTTCTGGTCAAGATGGGAGTAATTCCTTGTGGGAAAGTTCTACTTTAAATCTATAGGATGACTTTGTTTCTTGTGCCATGAAATCTTACCTTGTTTAAGAGCATTTGGTGAAGGACATCAATGTAACCTTTAGGAAAGTACACATACATTGTGCAAACCAAGTCAGTGGTCTCCATGTGTTTTATGATTCATGGTGAAGCCCTGACTTTCCATTATTATTTATCATTTAAACATCATGACTGTTGCCTGGGGAGGTTTAGGTGCCCAAACACTGGATATGTCCGAGGCCAGGTTGGATGGGGCTTTCAGCAACCTGGTCTACTGGGAGGCATCCCTGCCCATGGGAGGAGGGTTTCAGCTAGATGATCTTTAAGCTCCTTTCCAACCCAAACCATTCTGTGATTCTATCCACAGACCCATTTTTTCTGTGCCACACATTCCACCAGTTTACCTTGGATGGATTTCTAATTCTTCAGGTGATTTCTGTCACCTTTCTTTCAAATCCAATTTGTCATCTGGTACTCTTTAAGACTATATTTTTCTGGAGTACTTCTTTTTTGGCCCTGCTGACTTTCTGGTGTGCTTCCAGTGACTTGTATGCTGAGTAAGCACCAGGGAATACACAAATTATTGGTGTATAAGTTGTCTTTTTGGTTACTGGAGGCAAAATCACAACAACTGTGATGTAAACAGTTCAATTACAACATGTTTATTGGGAAGCAGAACTTAGTTTTTAAGGGACAATTGCATTCCAAATGCAGCTCCTAGTTTTTGTGGTGCCACAGAGAAACATAAAATTGTCTGAATGAATTTTTCTATTCCCATGAAAGTAAAAAGTCTCTCACAAACTTACTGTTGTAATTGCTGAAGTATCTGCTGTGGCTGGAAGTGTCAGCGTGACTGCTCCATCCCTCTTGTGCTCAGCCCTGTACGCATTGGCCAATGGGAATGATTCCTTGGGGGTTAACATCTGGTAGAGCACTGAGATATAAAAAATCCACTCTGTGTGCTTGATGCTGATGTTCCTCCTTCAGATCTTCTGCTTTTTTCAGAGAGGATTTTTTCCTGAAAGAGTTTATCATCAGTGTAATTCCTCGGTCTCTCTGTGCTGCAGAATTTCTCTTTCTGCAGCAGTGCAATGTGTTGGCAGTCTTTTCCCAACCAAGTTCTTGTTAAGTGCAGAAGGAAATGAGTTAACTTAGCTCCTGCTGTTAAGCCCTGGAAATTGTGGTTAAGTAGTCAGCTGTCATAAAAAAGTTAAACATTTGGTTTAAATATAAAAGTCTTCTGATTGTTAAATCAGCATTAGAGCAGGACAAAAATGAGTTTATTTAGAATTTCTGTACAGCTGGTGACAGAATTTATGTCATTTTCAACATAAATTGCTGCCAGTAGGAAAACAGCGAGTGCCAGATTTACTTAATATATGTTGTATGTTTTTGTGAGTTGTCTCCTGTAACGGTTGCTGAGTTAAAATTTTTTTTCCATAATTCCCTATTTTTAAGCAACATAAAATAAATGCCTTCCTAGAAGAAAATATATTACGTACAAAAATTATTCAGGAGCAATGACACCAGCTCTCAGCTTAGAGCTCTAGCATTTGGAAGTCAATAAAGTGTAGTGTGCTGAATTGATGTGGCTGTAGTAGTCAGGGTTTTGTTCAGAGGGCAAATGTGACAGACTAAGTGGTGAGATAGCAGATGATTTTAGGATGGTTGATACAGCAGTTCAACCACTTAAGTATCTAAGTCTCATCAAAATACTCCTATGAAAAGATATTCCTGAGTCATTTTTTGAAGTGGAACCTAATATGCCAAATGTGTCTTTGAAAATTTTACCCTGTAAGAGCATTTTTTAATCCTTTTGGGGGGTCTTATTACCGTAAATTGAAGTTATATAATAAATGGTTTGTTTGAATAATTTTAATTTGATCAATTTGATACTTAGCTGAACTATGCATAAGTCCATACGAAGTGCAGATCTCTGAGAATTTAGACTTACTTTCCATTTTCCTCTTCTAAAACTACAAAATTGTCAAATATCAACATTTAGGTTGTAACAATTGCCTTTCTGAGGTTTCTTATTTCTCAAGCAGAAATTTTGGGGTACAGTTTCAGTTGAGTTAACATCTGTGTACCATTGGAGATTCATTGGGCTCTTCTGTCTACCATTCTATCAAATCTGTTCCAGAAGTAGAAGGATCTCCCTTGGGTCCTGTCATATCTGTAAGCTCTACGTGGGTATCTTGGCATATCCTGCATGCATCACGCTGCTTAGGTGCTTGTGTTTAGGCAATTGAATTGTGTCTGCAGAGGCCTCCTTTCTGCCAGGGAGAATATTAAGGCTGTTATTGAAAAACAGAAGCCTGATACATGCCTTTACTTTCCCGTTTCTAAGATCTGGAAGCAAGTTTTGCAAAAAATAACTAGAATGGTCTGATAGGGGCTTACTACACAGCATCCCTCCTCACAGTTTTATAGGCACTGTAATGTGGAGGCCGTGCTGAAACCTGCTGCTTGTTGCTACAGGGCTTTTGCTGTGATAGAAATCAATGTTTGCACATGCTCGTTACTGAACTTTCCTAGTTTTAACTAGTTTTATTTGCAAGGAATCAAGTAGCATAATACTTCTGATTCTTCTTCTTCAGGAGAGGCTAATCCTGTCAAGTGCTATGGAAAATATCTGCATAGTTGGCAAGTGGGATTTTATTTTTTTTTTCCTGGATGCTTTTCCCGTGTAATTTTTTTACTTTTTCTGTTTTCAAAAAAGACCATTTGAAAACTGCAACATAACATGATTTTAAAGTGCACCAGTTAGCTTTATTCTAGAGCTATCAGTCTCAAGTTTTCTGTTTGCAAAAAAGTGTATTCTATAAATTGGGAAAAATCTGTGAAGTCTGAGGGCTACTCTCATTTTATTTGTTGTCATTTGTGTTCTAAGTTGTCTATGGAATGCTTGACGTTTTATATGTGCAGCAGAACAAAACTGTGTGTTGCGCTAGAGGCTTAATTATGGAGCCTAAACATCATACAAAGAGTAATTTAGGTGCCATAGAAAGCTTTTTATATCCATGTTTGTGTTCAGTCATGCCATTGTGGGTTTTCTATTCTATTTTCTGATGTCTGTTGATAAGTATTAGGATGATTGTTGTCACATTGATTTTCTTTATCTCTCAAGTGACAACTGTGAATAAAAGTGCAGCAGAGTATGAATGATCACATAAAAAATGCAGCTATTAGTCTTTGCGTTCTGGAGTTGTGTAAAACTGTTCACTTACAAAAAGTTTTACAAATTAACAGCATGGTGAATAGATAATGAAGTTTGAGAAAGATGCAATGTTAAAACCACATTATTAAAGGTGATAGGTGGTAACATGGTGAATCATCTACCTGACTTGCTGGGCATACTTTTGATAAAAGTAGCTGTCCTGTTTGAATTAGATACTGATCAACATCACAATGAGTGGTCTCAGCATTGGATTTAATTATATTATAGGTATTTTAATGGTATTTTGTGAGGATTCAAAGGTAAACATGAAATGGGTTTGCAGGTATTTGTAGGAAGTGTCTACAAACTAAACAGAGCAAGAGGGAAGATAGGAAGATTTGACATCTGGGTTTTGAAGGCTGACTTTGTGAATGGATCATTTTGGGAAAAATTAATATTTTAATACTTGTCCTGGTTCCATGTAAAAAGGGGTTCAGGGCAGGACCCACATGGAACAGAACTCACCTCTCCCCCCCCCCCCCACCAGAGAGAGGGGGAGACCCTGGCG